ATCGAATATGTTATATTGCTAATCATTCAGCTTGTTCCTATAAATTTTATTATGATAGAAATACACTCTCGGCGGGTTTTTACCATCACGTTTGACGTTGCCGTTGCCTTCATATTCAATATGACATAAAAAGGGATAACATATTCCCGCGCATCGTATTTTGCACGAGCGGGTAAAAGAGCATAAACGGGGATGATGAACGCGGCTGAAGCAGAGAAGGAACGAGCCGCCCATGTCAGTCGCACAAAGGGCGCATGCGATAGCATCAACCCGCGTGCGAGGCCCGCTGTCAATTACTGCTAGCACAGAGAGAAAATTCCCCCCCCCCCTTTAAAGGAGCGTGAAAGAAATTTAGGGAAAAAGGGGGCTAGCTGTGTCACTAGACAAGCAACTGTGAAAAGTGATTGTAATGACGGGGTCGTGATCCTTGGCATGTGCGCTATCTTGGCAGGGGTCAGCGAATGGCTCGCATGCAATTGTACATCTCGTGCTCGCAGCACGAAGAGACTACATGAAACCGCTGCTCTTCCTGGAGCGGCCGTATTATTTTGCACCGACGTCTCATAGTTAAGCGAAATCAGACCCAAAGAATTTGGCTGGTAGCCTTACTTCGTATTACATCGCAATTTGTTGCTATTGAATTACCTACGTCACTCTTGGCAAACTATATTTATTGGACGCATACTACTTAATGTTGGTTCAGAATACACCCTATCTTCGCCGGACATCAGGGTTGCTGCTTTGGCCGATTTCACTTTTTCATCGTAATGTCGTTATCTGCCAAGCTCGAACCATCATTTACAAGATGAGAAACGCCAGTGTCCTTCATTTTCCGAAACCATATACGGTGCTTGTGGGGACATATTGGTTCAGAGGTTAAGCAGGCAGTCCAATCATAGGTACTCTAATCTGGGACCCGTTGCAAAATGAGTGTTGATTATATCTCAAAAGCGATCCTTTATTGCACTTTCGACGAAGCCACCAGAGACCTATCTCATCATCTGACGCACTGCTACTGGCACTAATGCTCTTGCCTGCCACAGTGCCTCAAACATAATCTTAGAGAAGATTTGATGTGGACATTATAGGAGTTGCAAATTTTACATCGCATGCTAGGAACGACCACGTGACAAACCTGCCTGATTTATTTCATACAAATGTCGTATAGTTGTGTAACATGTACTTTATTAGGCACTGTGACTCAAGCCCGTTATATGCTATACCATTTGTTTAGCGAATAGCTAGTAACACACAGCCAACTTCTCCATGCGAATACGCATGGACACATAGGCATAACATCATTGTTGTGACTCATACCACAATGGTGATTCGCTGTCCGTTTGTTCATTTTTTCATGTTGATTATTGCTTTATCTCTTCGACAATGTCTTAAGGCAAACAAATTTATAACTATGTACAGAATATTGTTTAAGGAACAATAGGCTCTCGTCCGGTCTGTAGCAAAAGCTGCTCTGAAGGCGTTGTTGTGGTTTTTTTTAACCAATCGGACTCAGCGACTAAGTGCGACTGCTCGCGGAAAATGTTGCTGTGTAGTACTGAGACACCGCTCCAGTCCCCCCCCCCCCCCCCCCGCCTTTTTTTATTACTACTGCCGAAGACTGTTCTTCTATTTTTTCATTTTTTACACCCTATTTTCCCTTCCCAATCCCAGGGTAGCAAACCGGAGTCTCCTTCTCGTTAGCCTTACCGTATTTCCTTTATTTTTCTCTATTCTCGTCGTTCCTGTCTGGCTCTTTCTGGTGAAATGTATTCAAGATAGAAACAACAATTACAACTTTAAGCGTCAGCAGAATAAGTAGTGCAATAGGCGAGCACTGAAATAAACGTCGCGGAAATGCTGCCTCCACTTCGGTTGTTTTGTTAGCCAGCGAAAACACCGGCATGCAGAGATAAAGTTACAAGGCGCAATCTTGGCAAAACACTGCGTAGAAAAATCGAAAGAGTGGCGGTGCGAGTGGGGCTAGCGAGAGAGGAAAAGCGTTTGCAATGGACAAGCGATGACCGCATAAAAGAGCGCTTTGTTCCGCACCGCGCACAATGGTTAAGTGCCACCTCGTCCTTCTTTTGTCATCGTCCTTTTTTCAAGAAACGGCACCCAATGTCAGTGTGCGGCTTCAAAGCCCATTACTGTTTCGCATTTTCGCTTGCTCCACGTGCCAGACGATGTCGTCAAATGATGCCTCGTATATTCTTCGTAAAAACAGCGAGGAATCGAAACGAATGCCTCCTTCACTTTACCGCTCTTATCGTGTGCAGCTTCTGGTGACACCCTCTTTTCACCGAGCCAACACTAAGAGAAGGTCACTTCCACCCATCAACGCGCTGCGTTTCATTGGTTACGAAGAAACAAAGCATCGAGTCAAGGATTGTCGGCTAAGTTGGGTGGTGTTAACAGATCAGAGGAAGCTTTTTTTCATTTGTTTTTTGTTCCACTAAGTGGAAGGGTGCTGCCTACAATTTAAAAGCGCAAGCTGTTTAAAATAATTTTGAAGCTTTTAATGTGTGCGCTAAGTATGCCTTAGAATAGTCAGCACAGTGACCTCGTTCTGACCGAGCGCCTTAGACCAATGTGACAACAGATAAACGTGAGACCACGTGCATAATCATCATGATCATCCTGTATATTCTAGCGCGCTGCTCGGCCGATGAGGGACCTCTTCGTCGCCTTCATGGTCTACTCACTCCCTGAGCACGTGCGGCCGGCTAATTACCTATTTGCATGAGCGGTATGCTTGGCTAGGTAGGTGAAAACATGCTATTACCAAGCTAATCAAGCCACATGTCATGCGAAAACCGAAATAATTGGGCCACATCGCAATAAGATCATGGTAATGCAGCCATGTAAAGCTAGGACTCTGCAAACTATAACATATCAATTAACGCGCTCACTATGCCTTTCTAAAGAACGCGATGAACTAAGTGATGCTTATTGACGCCGACGTACTTCATGACGTCATGAGTACGCGAAGCGAAACGACGCTTATTAGATGTTCATATTGTGATTATAATTACGATCACTTTATACTAATCTACACATTGCTAATTACACTAGAGATAAATATGGTTTAATTAAAACCTTAACAATCAAACAAAACTGTTCAAAAATATGCTTATTAAGCCCTAGCTAACTAGTAAAATCGAAACTATGACATGATTGATGCGGACTTCAAAGCAGACCAAGCAAACTGAGTAGACAACTGACTTAAAAAGCTGTAAGAAGCTACATGATCACAAGCTACTCCACGGCGCCAGCCTTGCACAAGTAGTCAAAGCTGACTAAATTATTTTATATGCAAAAAAGATGCTGCTTAGCGTTGACCTCACTAAACACTTGACAGTCGAACCAGCAGAATGAAAGTTACGAGTTTACCTTGGGTACTTTCAAATTCAAAGAGTTTGTACCCGAATTCCCACGTCCATCAGTTTGGTTGACAGACGCCTACGACGAAAATTGCATCCGCCCACCACGTTTGCTCTTGGCGAGGAGCATTGTTCAGCCGCAACACCTGCGATCAGTACAATTCATCTATGCGCTTTATCGCGCACACCATGCACGCACGAACGAGGAAGTAAAAGTTACAGGCCGTTTTCCGCAGCTAGTTTGTCTATGCAAAACTAGATGGCACGACCACACACAAGCGTCATGGCCTTCTCATGGATTGATTGATTGATATGTGGGGTTCAACGTCCCAAAACCACTATACGATTATGAGAGACGCCGTAGTGGAGGGCTCCGGAAATTTAGACCACCTGGGGTTCTTTAACGTGCACCCAAATCTGAGCACACGGGCCTACAACATTTCCGCCTCCATCAAAAATGCGGCCGCCACAGCCGGGATTCGAACCCGCGCTCCGCGGGTCAGCAGCCGAGTACCTTAGCCACTAGACCACCGCGGCGGGGTGAAAGTCGAAACGAAAAGTGGTCTAAAACCTAGCGACAGACATCAACAACCGCGTGACGATTGAAGCACGACTACGTGAGGAGGAACAAATAGCGAAAACAAAAAAAATATACACGTTTAGTTTCAATAGTTTTAATTTTATTTGTTACATAAAAATGGAAGACTAATTTCATGGAGCTTTGGTCTTTTGTAAGTAATTGAGCGCCCATTTTTTTGTTTGATTTCAGAAACAGCGGGCACATGCACGCAGTCTGGTAAAATGGGCTAACGTATTTGGGGGCGTATCTAGGCGATATGTCCAGAGCTTGTGTTTAGTTTGGCTTGTTGTTTGGTTGGGCGCATTGCCAAGTCAACGAGGTATCGTTCACTTCTCTGTGGTGGTTTCGTGTGTACATTTAGATGTTTACTTATCTTTTATGTGCATTTATTAGCTGAACTAGCTCGCAGAATGTGTAGATAGCTGCTCCTGTGACCACCGACTGCTTTCTCTGACGCACGGCAGGCGTACACTCGTGTTTGGTGTCTGTGAACGCGACAGGCTAAGCAACTAGAACCTATATTTTCTAAAATTGCTGCCTCAATGCAGTGGTTTTTAACGATTGGCAAAGTGAGTTTTCCAACTATTATGTTATTGTGCTTGTGAAACGTTGTCTCACAATTGCCTCTGCGAAGTTTCCTGTGCATATTGCAAGTACGTTATTAGGGTAATAGAAGAACTTGGCTTCCTCAAGCTGTGTTATTTTTGTTTATTTTCTCTATCGCATGCAATTAGCGAGACACAATTAGGATGCAATAAAATTCCGTAATAATGAAGGCCACGTAGCAAGTCAGCAACTAAGAAAATAATTTGCGCCAGTTGTGACGTCGAATCCTATTTTTTTATTTTTTTTTGCTGGTAGTTGCCCCCTGCTGACGTAGATGGCAATGGTGGCAACGAGCCTCTGACTACTGAATCTATGGATTTCTATAGAAGTTATGCTACCAGTTTACATGATAAGAGAGGGCACGGCGACTGCCTGAAGGACAGCATGCCTAAATCGCCACTTCTTTTGGCGCAGATTCTGCCGTACTTTATCGCCGTTCTGCTGACAGCAAACAACTGGATTGAACTGGAATTTTCCGGTGGGCCTCAGCGTGGCAATGATACAGTGGACCATCAACTTGACAATGTCTACCCTGCTGGAGTAACGTCACTCCTGAGCAATCTACAAAAGGCGCAGCATTTCTGTGATTTCTTCAGCGATCAAGGCGTCTTCCTGAAGAACATCATGTCTAAATTGCCACTGCTTTTTGCACAGGTTAGTTCATTATGTAATTTGGCTGGTTACCGGAGCGATGATAGATCTTTATTGGTCTTGCCGTGCCCTCAGAAGCGTTTTGCAATTTTTTCTGACTACTGGTCAATGTTCATGTTGCTTGTGTCCGGAGACATTGAAGAAAATCCAGGACCGACTTCTGGTCAAAAGGTTACAGAAATGTTACAGGTTAATATTTACAGGCAGGAAGAAAGTGACCGCAAAATGGATACCGAAAGAAAAGAAATTGCCGCTGTCAACGCTAAAACTGATAAGTTGCGAGGTATTCTGACGGTATTTAAAGACACGAACAAAAGGATTCAGACAATAGAATCGCTTGTCCAACTGCAGATATGTAAGTTAATTGAGTATGAAAATAGAAGTAGGTGTAACAACCTTTTAGTGCTCGGAATTGCCGAAAGTGGTGATGAAACAGAAACCAAACTCAGAGAAAAACTCCTTGATGATATTTTTGACAGAACTTGAGGGGCTGCTGTGAGAATGGTAGAAAGAATCAACTGCATTGGTCATGCGACACAGAATAAGCCGAAACCCATTATGATGTTCTTCGAATCCAGGGAAAAGGACAGCGTTTAAAGAATTGTTTCAAGCTGAAAGGCCCTAGTGTGTGGGTCAGCCAAGATTATGCCAAACAGCAGAAATAAGAAGAAAGCTTTGGGAATGTACAGCATCGGATTGGTCAAAAGGCACGAAAGTCCAGCTCGTCTACGATGAAATAAAAGTAAAAGGCAAAACGTACACCTGGGACCTCACCCAAGGCAAGCGCATACCATGTGCGGTTGAAGGAAGTACAATTGATAAAAATAAGAAGGAAAAGGCTCAGGTCACTAACTGTTCGCCTGACTCGCACAGCTATACAAGTTCGCGATTAATGCCCACCTCATCCATGTCGTCATAGCTAGGTTTTATTGTTCTAAGTGTATGCAGCATTGTTAACAAGGCCACTGATCTGGAGTATTTGCTGCTTTCAGAAACTTTGTATATGGTCTTTATAACAGAAATTTAGATGCATTGTGGTATGCATACTGACGTAATAATTCCCCCTAGATATAAAACGTCCGGAAAGGACAGAGATTCCCGGTGTAGGAAAGTGTGTATAATAATAAAGGAATCTGTTTATGCGTCCATAATAGACTGACATTCCCGAAACAGTTTGCTGTAGGATTGCTTTTGGAAATATTTCTTATCTAGTTGGTGCAATATATCGTCTCTACGGCCTCCTGTCACTTTTTAGACCGGTTGAACATATTCCTGGGCACCAATGCACATAGTAACACACGTCTAATTATGGCTGGAGACTTCAATTTGCCACATATTATTTGCACGACCTGGTTTACAATGGCGTTGAAAAGTTTAGTGCAATAAACTATTGGACATAATGTTCTCTTTTAATCCAAATCAAATTGTCCCTGAATATAAACGAATAACTTCTACGTCACAGTGATTGTTAGATCTCGTGCTCCTATAAAATAATAATAAGGAATATTCATGTTCAATTGAGGATGGTATTCATTACAATAAAATGATTGTAGTAAATTTGACTTCTACCACTATGTCCTAAAGGAAAAATGCTATTACAATACCTACAAAAGACTATAACAATGCTGATGACACTGCAGTTGCAGATTTCTTAGAATTCTCATTTGGCCTTTTCGAACAACACGCTAACGAAAAAAAATTGGCCCCGTATCTGCATGTAATCTGCAAATGTCGTCGAAAGACGATAGTCTTGCGTGAGGAGAGAGTGAACAACACATTTATTTGATGTTCAGTGCCAAAAAATCACTGAACGGTATTCTAAAGGCGCTGCGTTAGAGTGCCTCGAGCGTGCAGCGGAGGCGAACGAGCGCATCAAGTCACGCCACACGTGAGACATAAGCGCCATCTGGCAGTTGACTTAGAAAACAAACGCGTGGCTTTGAGACGGGTGTGCGCGCCCATCCCAGAGGTGATAAGGTGTAGAACGCAAGGCGATGGGTGAGTGCTACCACCGTTTCGTTTTATTGATTGATTTGTGGGGTTTAACGTCCCAAAACCACTTTTTGATTATGAGAGACGCCATAATGGGGGGCTCAGGAAATTTTGACCACCTGGGGTTCTTTAACGTGCAGCCAAATCTGAGTACACGGGCCTACAACTTTTCCGCCTCCATCGGGAATGCAGCCGCCACAGCCGGGATTTGATCCCGCGACCTGCGGGTCAGCAGCCGAGTACCTTAGCCACTAGACCACCGTGGCGGGGCACCGTTTTGTTTTAACAGAGCGTTGAAAACACTCGCCTTTCCGTGAAAGCGTTGCAGGGTGAGCGCAGCGTGATAAGCGCTACGGTCCTTAAAATTGCTTATGATTGCCTTTTCTAGTAAGAGACGAACGTGCAGAATATATACGTGTGGTTATGGTGCCCCAGATATGCGCAATAATTGCTTTTTATTTGACAATTGCACAAGCATGAACGCTCACCATTGAGCAACATAGGTGGGCGCTGCGGATGGGGTCGGCCGTTTCAAGTGCCCGATGCTGTAAGAGTGGACAAACAGACAAATTTACAGACAGACAGACATCAAAATTTTGCGTCGAAAGTCTTCAAGAAAGACTTTCGTCTTTAAAAACAATGGATAAGTTGTGGAATGAATTCAAGGCTATAGCAAACCATTGCATGGAGCGCTTCGGGCCATCACGTCTGAAAAAAACCTAAACAACGCCGACCCTCGGTTAACTGCTGTATTATTCATATGAAAATAAAGCTAAAGCAGCTCCGGAAAAAAAGGGGCCCTGAAGAAATATTCAGACTTCACTGAGGATCGAGGTGCACTCTGGCGCTATATAAAAAGCTGTTCTTTGGTGAAACACTGGCTGGATTTTTAAAAACGTTTACACAAAAAATTCTGGAGGTATATGAGCAGTAGAAAAGATAAAATTGAAGGAATCTCAAATGATACACGAACGTTAACACATGCAGCTGACATTGCTGAATACGTCAAGTATTTTTTCCAATCTGTGTTCACCAAAAATGCAAACACTAACTAGGGCGAGCACTTACACTATTGTATGCATAAACCAATTGAACTTATATTCAAACGGGAAGGAGTCCTCGAACTACTCCTGAGCCTATACGGGAAAAAAATCTTGCGGGCCTGACGATATCTGTTCAGAATTTTTGAAGCGCTACGCTGATTGGATATTGTATTACCTTACAGTAATGATTGAGAAATCGCTGAATACCCATTTTTTTACCTTTGAACTGGTGCTCGAGAGTTGTCATACCGGTATACAAAGGAGGTGATTGCCGACTTGTAAACAATTACCGCCCCATTTTACTCACATGAATTAGTTGCACAATTTTGGAGCACATCACAAAACACATTTCAGAATTTCTCGAACAGAGCAACCTATTATACTCATTCCAGCATGGCTTCCAAGCTGGACTATTGGCAATTACACAATAATTGAAGGTTTTCATAATTTTGCGGCAGCTTTAGAGAATAAGCAACAAATTAACGCCATTTGTATAGACTTTGCAAAAGCTTTTGATAAAAAGACTTATGATAAGCTTAATTTTAAGCTTCGAAAATTGGTATTGGTAGAACACTTGTGACTTGGATAAAAGAATACCAAGATAACCGAACACAGACAGTACATTTATATGACACCTCGTCATGCCCACTCGCACTCTTCTCGGGTGTTCCCCAGGGTTCAGTATTGGACCTTTCGTTATTTCTGATATATGTCGACAATATCTTTGAAGTGGTTGATCACCCAGTACGAGTAAAATTTTCGCTGATGGCTGCTAAATTCCTTCTACGGTAATGAGCAAGCACAGTCAAGCTAGCATTAGTCATTGCTTGAAAAAATTCCGCTATTGGTGTAACTTATTGGATATGAAAATAAACTACAAAAAATCAACATATACACACATGACTAAAAAAACAGGCGTTATGCCCTTTCACTATTCTATTAAGGGGAATTTACTCCACCATGCTAACCAATTCAAATATTTAGGAGTCACTTTTACTCGAATTTTGGCATGGCAAACAAAAATAGACAATGTGTGCTTGAAAGCGATCTAGAGACTGGTTTCTTAAGAAAAAAAAAACTACATCAAGCTTTGCGAGATATAAAACTTGTAACTCACAAAGCCTTCGTTAGACCACCACTAAAATATGCCTCTGTCGAGTGGAGTCTTCATCAGGACATCCTGAAAACAAATTAAGAAAAAGTTCAACGCCGTCCCATCCACACAAATTACCGCGGTTGAGATCCTGTCACGCAGATGTTGGAGTCCGGTGAATTGGAATTACTTAAGGCACGAAGACGAAAGAACTGGTTGAAAGGTCTTTTCAGGGTACTGTAAGGACAACTAAAAATTAACAAAGATTTGTACTTAAAAGTGCCACGGAAACGAAGCAGTCAGGTTAATCACGACTGTGTTTTAGTATCGTACTCTTGTCAAAGTGATGTGTTTGTCGTTATTTTTTTTTCTAGTTGCGATTGAGCTTTGGAATGCATTGCTAGGCGTTGTAGCAGAAGGAAGCGATGTTTGCCAATTTGAAAAATTGTTGGACATATATTTCAGTGATGGAGCTGTCAGATGATAAGCCTGCATGTTTCCTTCGTTTGAGTTTTTTTTTTCTCCCAGCTGTGTTTATGCCATGTAATGCATAGCCAGGCATTGCTGCAAATCCGGGCAGTGTTTGCCTATTTGATAAAGTTTTACACATATATTAATTTATTGCGCTAATACCTGGCATAGATGTGTATTGATTGGTTTGTATTTCGTTGTACCCTCCCTATCAGAGCCCTCAAGAGAGGGCTGACAGTATCATAAAATAAATGAAAAGAAATAAAAAAATATTTTGATGCATCTACTCACAGGAGTGTTGCCGCCATGATGCGACCGCTCCTAGTAGTGACCTGTCCTTATATTTATCTGCAATATTGCATGGTAGTGAAACGAGGTGCATGAGAATGCCGGGTGTGCGCCCTTGCTTCTTTGGGATGGAAATGTCTATGCTGCAGGTGGTATAAAAGAACCTTGTGCTAAAGAGGACAAACGCCCACGAACACGCCTATGCGAGGCGCGACGCCCCGCCGCGGTGGTCTAGTGGCTAAGGTACTCGGCTGCTGACCCGCAGGTCGCGGGTTCAAATCCCGGCTCTGGCGACTACATTTCCGATGGAGGCGGAAATGTTGTAGGCCCGTGTGCTCAGATTTGGGTGCACGTTAAAGAACCCCAGGTGGTCGAAATTTCCGAAGCCCTCCACTACGCCGTCTCTCATAATTATATAGTAGTTTTGGGACGTTAAACCACCCATATCAATCTTCATTATGTGAGGCGCGATGCTAATCTTGAAAAAGATAGCGCAACAGTCACACTGACATCGCTGCACAATTGAAATGTTGGCCGAGTGGCAGCGCTAACGAACTTGCACGCGGTGTTTCTTTATAACCGCCACGAATGCCCCACATGCATTTCTGACGCCACGCGCGTTCTTGTAGCCGTTTTTATCAACGCTGCTTTCACACGCTCCACACTATCTTCGTGTTATGACCGCTGCAATGCAAACTCAGAGTAACCTCGTCTGCCCTAGAAGCTCGGTCCGTTTTTCGTAGCACCCTTGATGTCAGTTTTACAGCGAAAGCTTTTATGAGATCCCAACACGGTTCACGCGCGGCGCCGTAGCCACCGCCACCGGTGTCCGTAACCACTATCGCTCGAAATATATAAAAAA